AGTATAACGATAATTAAACAAATAAAACACCAAACAGTAATCATGAGGAGAAACTACAGTAAGAAAGCACAACAAAAAAAAAGTAAAATCAGTAATACGAACATATTAAAAAATGTATAATTTAAATGAAGACTGCATGTTATTCAGAGTTGGAGAATGCTGTTTGATGTGGAGGGTTTCTTTGATCAATAATTCCAGGTCAGTATTAGACTTGCAGAGGATAGAGAAATTTGATAGTACAGGTTGATGTCCTGTTTCTTCACTATGTTGGCGTATAGAGGAAACACAGGGGTAATTCAATTGTATTTTGCGTTTTAATGGAAATTCCCATATGTTCGTAGGCTCTGACAGACAACAGTATTGGGGGAGTGGAGGATAAAATGTAATATCTTTCAAAACACTGAGCTTAAATACTAAACTTCGCTACACGTTTAAAATATATTACGGTGGTAATGGATTATAAAGTTTTTATTAACTCCAACTTCGAGTCCAAGCGGACATTTCAGGTTATTTGACTTGGCAGTGTATGATGTGTAGTCGTTGTGACGTCTTGAACATATTCCTGTGTAAAAGAACTCGGAAGTTTAATCAGTAATAGTTTTGACGAATGCTGCGAGACGATGTTCAAATTTATGTGTAGAAAAATTCAATAAAAATAGAGTTGAAAATGTGTTTTCTTTAAATAAAAAGCAGACTGAAAAGCAAATATTCGTAGCGAACATTAAGGATTGAAAAAAACAACAACAACAAAAATTCCACTCTTTAAGTTTTAGTTTTATTTTATTATTTGTAATTAGCAAAAACTTATTTAATTTATGGTGCCTAAGTCAAAACTCACTGAACAAATTTATGAATTATTTATTTATTTGTGAATGTTTATTTGAAACAATTAATGGTAAATTATTAACTAGTGTTAGTGTGATCAGTTTTATGCCAGCACGTTAGTGGAGACTCCACCTCCCCAGTCGGTAACATAAACGCATGATGTATGTTTTAAATCAGTTATTGCAACCGTATCACTCTGTCACTCATTACTAAGTTTTGTAATGAAAAAACGTCACATATAATTATAACACTTACCCTGAACTGAGTAAAAAATTTCTGAGTATTTCCGAAAAAATAAGTACTATATCTTATTCTTGGTTAGTCACTTTGTAATGATGAATATTTCAGATGTCTTTTCAGCGGGCCGAAAACTAGATACTTAAAGTGTAACTTATTTGTGAATGGAAACGTCATTACTATTATATCGTTATTTCTTTAGTTGAGCATTAGAGGTTGAATTTAAGGTTAGATTCTTGAGGTCGGACTTTCGAGAACTTTGTCCTCCTACAATGCAATGTCCGCATAGCAACCGAGGCGAAGGAGCAAACAAATAGTGCGACTAAGGGGGAAATTTTGTTCATTCTATATACTTGTCCGCTGTCTAAACTCGAATTCGTAACGACTATTTGTGTTTGGAATGAACTTTTGTTCTTCCAAACCTGCAAATATAGTGAAGAGTTGTTACGTATTCAATTGCACCAATAACAAGTTGAAAAGACCTGAACTTTCCTTCTATTTGATACCAAGTCCTCCAGCTCGCCTAAATAGTAAGCATAAAGTAAATATTTGTAGGATTCTATTCCTGGTCTAGAACAGTCTTAAGAAAATTTGTCTGTAATCGTTTTAAAACTAATTCGACCTGGTAGTTTACTTTTTAGTGTTTACTTTTTTTCCCACAACAACAAGCTACTGAAAAGGAGAGAATAGTATCGTGGCTGAAAGCTATCGACCGTGGAACACTGGAAGCAATAGGAAAGTTGTGGGAGTCAAAGTCTGACTATAACTGTGTGTTAAGCTTATTTTATATCATGTAAATGTTGTCTTCCGATTTGTTTTAAACACAAGGTAATTGTACACGATTGGGTACTGCACACTGGGCCATTCTGACGGGTCACTGATCCACGAGTCGGCAGGGTGTTGGTAGGGGCAATAATCAAGCCCAATTAATTGTAACTTTACTCAACAACTTCCCCACATATCAATAAGATATTGCAATTGATAATTTTACTATGAAACAATAATATATGAACGATATAACTGAAAAATTTGCACAGCAGCGTCAGCAGTAACACGTCTTTTCAGTATAGCTATATAAATTGCGTACACGCAGCTGTACTCGCTTCGCTATTGTTTGCCCGTTTGGCAAAATCACATGACTGTGACGACACGCTACCTAAGAAAAAAAAACAAAAAAAAAAAACACTTGATATGTATATTTCTTTTTAACCATTGATGCCAGCCAGGTAAAAGATGTCGCAAGTTTCGGCTATAAAATTTTCTCTTAACGATGATACGTAGACTAGTGAAACATTTTATTATTCTTGGCAAAAATAATTTTGATAGTGAGTGTAGTCTGAGTCTAATTACCTTTAGTTGGAGCTAGATTATGATGATTTATAGTGAACAAAATGTAGAATGAAGTGTCATGATTAAGACTTTTTTTTCACACATCCTCTCTGGATGTGTCATTAGTGTATACGTATCAGTAGTTATGTAATAACTTCTACCAAAAGAATTGCTAAAATCTTCGATAAAGATTACAATTTATAATAATTAGTCATAATTGTGAGCGATAGGCAAATCAAAAAAGGCTTCTGTGACCATTCTGCTTTAGGTCATCAGTAGGGTATCCTCACTTTAGCGGTGCTTTTGGCCGTGTTTTGTTTGTTTGTTTTTGAATTTCGCGCAAAGCTACACGATGGCTATCTGCGCTAGCCGTCCCTAATTTAGCAGTGTAAGACTATAGGG